ATAAAGCGGACCGTACAGCCTAAATAAATAAAGGAACGATAATTATTACCCATAATGAACTGTCATGAACTTTATCAGGAGCAGTGTCTGGAAGTTCTAAATGGACATCACCCCCACTCGTGTACATCTCTTTAACGTGCAGTGTAGTAGAGTGGGGGTTATACAGCCGAACTGCAGATACAAATGTACCATTTAATGGAACCCGAGCACCTACCAACGGACGCAGCCTGTATGGGTTGCCTGATCCAATGCCTCGTAACTTAAAATGAATTCGACTTTAACGGCACGACCTTGTACGAAAAACTACATCCAAGCATCAAATAAAATCATAAATTTTAATGGATGATACACCAACTTACTGTATACGTAAACGTGCCCAGAGATGAGTGTACAAATAGTACATTTTCAATAGCACCTTCATGGCGAGGAAGAAACACCACATCAAAAGAAGTTTCTTCTTCCGGATTAACTATCTGAAAAGACTGTAGTGAAGAAAAAAGTTTTAATGCTGAAGTAAAAGTTATTCTTAAACTCGGTTCTACAGAGACGACTAAGGTGCTTGAAATAACTCTCATTCTAAGTGCTGCTGCCTGTTTTAATATCCAAAAATGAACTCTAAAAATAACACGAGCAAAGAATGAGCAGTATCAAATTATGAAACACTAATTTGAAAGCAGTTATAAACTTACTTTATGTTCAGGAAAAGAACAGTGAAAATGTATTGTTGATCCAGAAATAGCATCAAAACGAACCGTTGATGCAGTTGGATTTTTCACAAAAACTTTTTGCTGATGAGGTACTCCAAGAGCCCTTAAAGTAAACAGTGACTTACAAGAGCTGAAGGAATAATGATCTATGTTTGACAAAAATTATTCAGCAAGTACACTAAATACAGTGGTTAAGTGAAGAAAACACCCCCTTATTCCATTCTCCTCAGGAATCAGCACACAAAAACTTACTGCTCTCCAAAGTTTAACTCCTTTGGGCTGAACTGTAACTGATTGTTAAGCATAGGTTCACTTTCGTCCGTACTAAAAAACAAAAATCAAAAACCAAAAAACTTCATCATTTCCATACAACTAACAGAAAATAGAAAAAAAAATATGTGGACCTGAAACGAGACCTCAGCAAGCACTATTTAAAATCCATCTAAAAAGTCGAAATGTATTTGACGGACCGCCTCATAGCAACATAACCGTACTGTGCTGTAGCGATTATATCACCGCTTATTCAAGCTGGCTCAAAAAATACATATTACCCCAATTTAACATTTTAGGTAATTTTTATCTAAGACAATCTTTTGTGGAGCAAAATCCTCACAAAAGGAAGGCCAAAGCTACAGTATCATTTTAAACTTTCTTGAAAGTATTTAAAAAGAAAAGATGTATTCAAACTACTAGGAACTATTAATGAAAATGAATGCAGTATCATAACAAACACTTGATATTACATACCTCCTCAAAACCAAAACGCATCATAACAACTATATTCTTCTCCTCTTATATTCTTCTCCTTAGTGAGTATTATCCGACACAACGCGTACAAATGCACCACAAAAGAAGAAATATGCAAAATTCCTCAACTTCTATAAACCTACTTCCTTCCTCAAAAGAAACATTTTCAGTCATAATTCAGCTTACCGACCACAGGTTGTAAATAATACTAAACTTTTTATAAGAAATCGATCTTAATCCCAGTAAAGGCAAAGCTGCAAATACAAATGCAGAAAAGCAACAAACTCCTGCACCAAAATTCGACAGAAAATTTGATTCTGAGACCAAGGAGAAAGTGAAGGCGGCAAATTGTATATTCAAGTAAGACATATAACTGAACTAACCTCTTAACAGGTGCACCACCAATGAGATCTTCATGATACTGAACATCAGAGAAATAATGTAGTTCATTTCCTGTTTGGACGAAAGCTGTCGCAATTGCAGGCAAGTCACGATTACTTCCTTTAACTGTTGGTGGGGCATCTCCAAATAATGTTGTGCCTTGACACTGTGGAGTTTGGAACCCCAACAACACCACCAAATTAAAAACGAAGAGCCACAATCTGTCACGATAACTCCCTCCCAATGACATCACACATAATTCTAAAGAGCAACTTATTTTAAACCAGTTTCTTGTTTCAAATTAACAATATGTGCGAATTCGAAGGTGTAAAATATCCGCAAATTAACGAAAAACAATTTTATATTAAAAGTTCTTACAGACCAAAAGCCTCAACTAATTTTAAAAATTAAAAAAAAATTCTTCGAAAAACTACTATATAGTGTAATAGCATGATAAAAACAAAAAAAAATTATTTTTTTTATTTAAAATAAAAATGACCGTTGTTGACCTCTTGACAAAAAAAAGTTGCTGTAAACGACTAAGCAAATCTCGTTGAATACATTATAAAGCAATTTTAACGCACAAACTAGAAACGTGAAGTAACTGTCGAGAAAACAATAAAATATCAAAGAACCGTAGGCAGCAGAGTACAAACAGAGTGATGAACAACCACTGAAATTTCCGAGAGACTTAAAAATAACATATAATTAGCACCCTTTTGAGCATAAACTACATTAGAAAGATAGGCCAGTGCCATCATGTCCAATGATTTACTTCGATTGTTAAATTAACAGTATTTGGTACAGCGATAACCTAAACTAAAATCAAATGTCAAAAATTCTCGCGCCTTCCTCGGCACCCGCTCCCTGCTGTTAACAAACGGTGTCATGTCTGCAAGACGTACAGTGATTGGAATATGAAAATGTCTCAGTATTTCATAATTTCAGTAAATCTTATAACTAATTTCCTTCAGCAGTACAGAAAAACAGCTTAGAAGAAAAAACTGATAGATGTGCTGTAACAAAAAAAGAAAAAATAAAAATAAAAATCTCATACAGATATTAAACTAAAAATAGTCATCTCTGAAGTTTTTAAGAACATCACAACAGAATTTGCCACAGAAGTCATCTGTTTCACAGTAGCACTTACCAAAAGGTATGTTGTGAAATTAAAACAAACGAAGACAACAAAAATGCAGAAGAGGAAATGACTCAGTAACAGCTAAACAGGTACAACAGTTGTGATTTAAGCAGAGAATAGTAGTTCACTAAGACCATCAAGATATATAAAATTGTGCGGAAAAAGTTGCTTTATAAAAGTAAAACATTTTCTTATGCGTCAAGCAATGCTATTTTCATTTATGAAATATATTACACCAAGTTCACATTAAAACCAAATAAGCATTTCAAAACAAATTTCAAAACGTCTAATTGACAATAACGAAGATTTCGTAAGCCCACAAAAAATACTTTTATCGTTTTCGAGCAACTTTTATAACGTTTTTTCTTTCTTCTCATTTGCAGTAAGAACCCTAAAAATCAAAGTTTTAAAAGGTTTCTCTATCAAAAAAAAAAAAAAAAAACGCTCTTCATTTCAAACTACAAGTCTTCAGTCAGTCACAAAAATTCAGTCAAATTCTGATCGGGGAAGAAATATACATCTTTCTAGAGAACAAGTCTGTTAAACACCCAATAACGCCGATTTAGTGCCGTCCTAACTGTCTACTCGTATTTCAAAAAATACTTCCAAGACTTGAAATTTGTTTAACGAGCCTTGACCGAGGCTACTCAAGAAGCAAATAAATTTCAAGTCACTCTGCAGTAAATAAACTTCATTATTTCCTTTATAAAGTTACAACGTACATTTCGAAAAACAATTTCGCAGCAAAGAATTTTTCACTTCTCAAATGAATAAAGAAAATAAACGTTTTCAATCTACCACAATCCAGAGTCTGTTAACAGCTCCTGGCGAATATCAATAAATTAAGTAACAGATATTGACTGCAGATCAGCAAGGAGGTCAAGGAAAGGGGGAAGGTATACAGGGGTGAACAGCGGCAACAGCAGGCCTCAGTATAACGGAGGGATGAAGAAAGTACAGTGGAACTTTGCCGCAGTTTGGCAAACTGCCAATCAATTTTACCACTATCAGCCTGCAGTGCGATATGGCATGCTCTGGGGGCTGCGCTGAGACCTTGTCTGGTTCGGGAACTGCAGTAGTTAGGTGTCTGAGAAGCCGACTTGCTACTGCGCAAAACGATAATACTGAATTTCAACAAGACGTCCCCTAAAACTGCCGGAACTGCACAGTCCACTTTTCTTTCTACACGTACCTACTACTTTGAAAATAAAGGTAGCTGTTAAAACATAGGTACCCTCCTTAAAGTACTCTCAGCATTTCGGTAATGAGTACCACACATACAGTGCTCCCAATATGCCATTATTTCTCAAAATGTTCAAAATGAGAGCAATATAATACTTGTCTGCGCTGTTTCTTAGAGTCTGAACCCAAAAAATTTCACATTTGTATATTATAATATCATTACAACCATGACACATAGAAGAAAACTTTGCTGAACAACTGCATAACTGACGTCTGGGCCGCAAGGTGACAGATCAATACTGAATGGTCGGTACCGCTACGTTTAGACAAGTGCGTCGCGAACTTGCTGAAGAGGAGTCTAAGCGAGTTTTGTTGGAGTAAATACGTCTCTTTTGCGGATGAAAAATCACTAGTAAAATAAGCAAGAATGAGCAAGTGCACAAAGATTTCCAAATCAGAATAATGACGATAATCACTTTGTCACCAGTACATTTGCTGCTTACAAAAAATTCACTATTATTATAATTCTTAACCATTAAAGAGCATAAGTATTAAGTAAGAGTGTTGATAAGGCACATAGAGAAACTTTGTTCAAAATGAGAACAAAAAAATGTAAAAAAACTTCATAGACGTAAGTGATTAATTGGTTGTACTCAGGTATATGAGGAAAAACACGAGAAGAATAAAGAATTTAAGTAGACAGACATACAACCTACCAATAACAATTTTTTAATACCGATATAAAATATTAAAACGGTAAGAAGTTATATGACAGACAGGATACTGGAATATTTTAATTAGTCGACCGTTTTATATTGGTTGACAAGACATCCTTAGACAACAAAAACAACACAATTTTCTTCGCATTCTGCCACCTTACAGGTATAACTTTTGAAAAAAAACCCAAAGAAAACCGAGCCTTTTTGGTTATTTCCGTAGCAGCCTCAACTAGTTATTTAAAATGGTCTACACCAAAAACAGCATTTTTAATGCAAAGTGAACAAAATCTCAAAAGAAAAAAAAAAAACTAAAAATTGAAGGGAATCTTCTACCCTGTGACGGCTCTGCTTGAAAACTTTTCGGCAATGTTTGTTAAATGAATACACAAACCAGAAAAAAACAAACCATTTTACAATTGCTAGGGGAGATAACCTGTTAAGATCCAAAGCTGCAAAAGGCCCATTAGTCAGCGGCAACAACAATAAAATAGCAACTTTTTCTGATAAAAAGTGAAAAACCTATAATTCATTAACAAAGCACAAAAATGCTTGTT